CTTTATCATTTATGAGTGCAAACAACTGACGTTAGTATGGCTGATTGTCTCGGAACTCGAATTGATGGTAAGAAACTAATTCTATTATAGATTGAATTCAGATTTTTGTTTAAATTAGTGGAGTTAATGTACACACATACTGTTAGAGTTCTAGCTTACCTTCTTCTTTTTGATTTTTCATCTAAAAGACTACGTCCATTTAAATGGACGTCAGGTCGTTAAGCATACAAAAAATTTATTATTGTTTTAGCTGTATTTGGCAACAAAACACATTTACGACCTAGCGAGGACGACGGCAAACTACTAGAATGTTTGGAAATGTCTGATTTAGAATTGACTGATTGTGAATTAGATGACTGATGAATTCATTGAACAGGAAAATTTAAATGAAGATAATCCAACTTATCAAGACTTACAGGATCCAGAGTTGTCCTTTCACGATGAGTCAGAGTTATCTGAAGACGACTCAAACAACGAACCACTCAGCGTAATTAAAAAGAGACTGGATGCGCAAAAGTCGGCAGACGATGCTAAACATAAACCATGGAAGAAAATGAATGTATTTATTGCTCAAACTCTACTGAAGTTACTGACACAGTTCACGAGAGACACAGCTGGAAAATTGAAGATTACATTAGTATGTATTTCGACGATTGGGACATTTGTAATTGTACCAACGTTAGGTATTTAACAGAGAAAGGAAAACCTCTGAATCTAGCGGTCGCAGAAGTAAGAAATTTTTTTGGAATAGCGATTCTAATGTCCTGTCTCAAGTATCCCCAAATTAAGATGTTTTGGGCTAAAATGACTAAAGTTAATAGTATTGCAAACTCCACGACGCGTGATAGGTATTTTTTAATTAGGAGCAACTTGAAAGTTGTTATCGATGCTGATGTACCTGAAAAAATGAAAGGAAGGCTGACAAATTTTTTAAGATTCGTCCTTTAATTGAAAGAATTAGAAAAGGTTGGTTATCACTTCCAAGATACAATTATTATTAGTGGTAATTGAATGACGACCATGACATATTGGATATAATTAATTTTGGTTTTCGAAGAAGACAGTGGTAAAGAAGTGAATACTTTGATACCATGGACAACCTTTCGTTTTTCAGAAGATTTTGATTGCAAAAACTTACTATTCTGAATTTTCTGCATCATATTGAAGAAGAAATTGAGTATGACAATGATACACACACACCCTACATATACTATTATTAGTAGGTACCTAAAATATGAATACACTTTCACATTTAGATTATACTAGTAGAAACAACAGTTTAACACCAATCAATCAACTCTTGACAACCTTAAGAATATATGCATGCGGAGGACGCCAGCTATCCATAGGAGACTTTATCTGAGCCCATCAATCCAAAATTTCAAGGATTGTCCATCGAGTCACTAATGCGATTGCCAGATCAAGATCCGTATTTGTAACAGTACCCAATGACAATGAAGGACTTCGTGTAGCAACAGACTTTTATAACATTGCTCGGTTTCCTCGGGTCATTGACTGTGTGGATGTGGATGGACACATATTAGAATGCAATCTTCAAGTAACCACTTAAAAATGTGTAGTCAATCATAACTGGATAACCCTGTACGTTTGTATGAGGCGAGCAGGCTGAAGCATTTCATAACAGAAAAGCCTTCTTTTCTATCAACACACAAGTAATCTGTGATGCGAAATTATAAATACGATACATTGTTGCAAGATGGCCGGGATCGTGTCACGATCTTACTATATTTAGTAAGAATAGGATCTCAATGTGAAAATAATTAATTTCAAAACTATTATTATTAGGTAAGTACTTACCAGCAGGGGTATTACATAACAAGTGTCTTAAACTCAGGACATAAGTTAAGCCGATTTGTTTAAGATCATAAAGTTATAGACTTTTCGTATTACATTGTTCTCAGTTTAAGACCGTCTATAAAAGTAATCGGTCTAAACCGGCGGACTTAAAGTATAAGCGCAGTACATTAGCCAACAGCGCAAAAAGAGCTTAGAAGAAGATTACCGTTGAAAAAACAGAACATCCCCAGAATAATAACCTGAAACTTTGAAATTTATTTTAAATTAGTTTACAATCTTTTTTATGTTTTGTGGCTTACAATTTACATAATAGAGAAAAGGGTGCATGTGCATTAAAAGTGTGTGTAAGCAGTGATTAATACCTAGGTAGTTATGACAGAGGCAGAAAATAAGTGAGAGAAATTTTGTTCATACTTTGTACTTTAATGTGTTTTTAATTTTGTGTTTAGGAAGAAAAGATTTATCGAGAAGCAAATTAATTATCTTATCAACTACATGATGACAAATCAAGAATTTGCTGCTGGGAAGTTTCAGGTGCCTCAGGGCAAGCAGGCTCTTATTAAAGAGTGGAAAAGTCTTACAGAACAATTATTAAACGAACTTGTTCCCTTTCCCGATTTGTGCTAGGGACATGAATAACTTCATTCATAAATTCATCGAATATAGCTCTAGTTGTTTTCCTAACACAATTGCTAACGCTTGAGTTGGCTCATGGCTATAAAAAATTCTTGCCCAACAGTTCTTTGGTAGCAGCCACGAGCAAGAAAGAACCTACAAATTATTTTATTCAGTTTCCTCCCAAAAACTTAAGCCGGCTAGAAAAAGTACATAACATCACTGCAAGTATATAGACATCAGTAGTTTACATTTGTTTTTAATTATATTCATTAGAATCAGCAAGGATGTAGGCCACCTTTAATAATTTTTTAATATAAATTTAAAAGTTGTTTGGTTTAACAACGTGTTTTATTTAATATTTTTTTTAGGTGATAGTGGCTATGCCAATAAGGACTATCTATTAACACCGCTTTTCAATCCAGACAATGAGGCAGAACACCTTTATAATGAGGCCATCGGAGTTTGGAAAAGGCGCTTTCCAATACCTGCATATGGTTTAAGGTATAAACCGGAATTTTAAGCAATATAACAATAGCAACCGCAGTGTAACAGGCCATAACAGGGACAGAATGAACGGGGCAGAAGAAGAAGAAGAATAGAGAGAGGGGAACGGCGAGAAACTGTTAGCGATGAGAAATTTGTCTAGTTTTTTTTTGGTCCCTGTACCAGTGTTAAGAGTCTTATAGTTGTGTGCAACATAATAAATAGCTCCGAAAACGAAGCCTCATTTTCAAGATAACCCTACGACCGATTTCCAACCACGACAACAGCGGGAGATAAAAAGGGATCAGTGCATTTGGCGACCAACGAAATGCGACCTGTTATCGTGAGTGAGGTGTCCCAGGATTTGTTTTCATCTATAAAAAGAAGTTGTGGAATTTGGGAAAATAGAGGATGATCGTAGATTAACCAGACGCGTCGGCGGCTACACAGACAACGTATAAGACACGTACGAGAAGGTGCCGAGTGGAGCCATCCGGGCAGGTATCTGCGAGGGACAGGAAAACAAAAGCAGTGAATTTGTGTGTAGTCCAATGGTCAGTTGTGTGCATAAGTAACCAGAGGTGAATAAATTAAAAGCCGGTAATACAATAGCAGAACGCCATTGTCTGAACAGAGTAAACAGGAGAGCCGCAACCCCAAAGACACAAGGACGTTGGTTGGGTTGCCTAACTTAGAAAATTTGAAGTAAATAGCATAAGAGAGTTTAAACTGATTGAACGAAGGAAAGGAAAGTATGGATTTGGAGGCGATAGTTCTGTCCTTGCAGAAAGCGTAAGTAGAATGCAGAGAAGTATTTCACAGAGAGATAGCGAGGGATCGGCTGTTAGTTCCGGGCAAAGTGTAAGTAATAACAAACAGTATATTTCATTATGACGAGAATTGGGGGGTCAAAACTTAACTTTTTATGCAAATTCTGTCCAACACCCAATGGATTTTTTAAATAAATTGAGTAAGCTATTCGAACAGGCTGAAGTGCCAGAGGAGGCTCGTGTAGGCATGGCAGTAAATTGTTTGAGAGGTTCCGCTGCCGACTGGGTGGCATATAGAGAAAGTAGGTTCAGTACTTTTGATGAATTTAAAGAGATTTAAAAAACGATACTGGGGAGATAAAGAAGAACGCTGGGTGTTGGCTGAAGCCAAGTTGAAATTAAGATCTAATCAAAGGAAAGCTAAGCATGATGCTGTTAATCGATGTATCAAATTCAACAATGTCGAATTAGTTTTGGTAAGAACCCATCCCTTGTCATCAGCGGAACATGCTGAAATTGAAAAATTCTTTCTTTTGTATGAGGGACCGTATTTGATAAAAACTAAGCTTGGACCTAACAGTTATGAGTTAGTCGATAAAGAAGGATCTCCTAAAGGTCGTCATAATGTTGTTAATTTAAAGAAATACAAGGAGCTGCCTTCCACTTTATAGTCTATTCCAGTTCCATTTTGTTTTATGTCCTTTATGTTTGTATATTTAATCATCGTTAAAGAGAAAAAAAAACGTTAATAGGGGGGTAGTATAACAGGCCATAACAGGGACAGAGTGAACGGGGCAGAAGAAGAATAGAGAGAGGGGAATGGCGAAAAAACTGTTAGCGATAAGTTTGTCTAGTTTTTTTTTTGGTCTCTGTACCAGTGTTAAGAGCCTTGTAGTTGTGTGCAACATAATAAATAAATCCGAAAACGAAGCCTCATTTTCAAGATAACCCTACGACCGATTCCCAACCACGGCAGCAGCGGGATATAAAAAGGGGCCGGTGCAGCAGTATTGCAAAATATTACAATTGAAAATAATGAACCAGTTCCCCCACCACCAGAAAATATTAATGAAGATGAGCTTAACTACCTCATGGAACTGGGAAATATTGAAGATTTACATAATGACCATGAAGAAAATGAGTATTTCATATCTGAAGGTTCCAGTTTTAATTATTTTTCATTTGTATCTAATCTTTTTTCTTCTTGCAATTTTAACATCCTTATTTTATACTGTTGCTCTTCCCGTGTATAATTTTGTGATTCTACAATTTGTTCCAATTGCTTTTCAACCAATGCTAGACGCTTGTCTACTAAGGTATACCTGAAGATGACAAAGCTCTTATGCCTCCTATTGGTCGCCTTCGATTGAATGGTTTTCCATTTGGCGTGCTATTATTCTGAGTCGATACCGAAGTCGATACAGATGTTTGAACTTTTTCAGTTTCTTTTGACTGGCAAGAGAAGATTGGTTGGTTCATTGGTTTTTGTAATATGCCAGACGAACATTTTCTATATGCCTTTGCTGCCATGTTTTCCGCTTCTTTATTCAATTCTTCAAGAACCTAAAAATTCAAATTAAGTTTAGGTCCTGCTTCTTGGTAGTAATAAAGGCTCGAATAAAGGGCATAAATAAGCAAGTACTATGATAAAAAAAAGTCTAGAAACCCACGTTATTTTCAGAATCATTTTCATTATATTGAATAAACGAACCAGTAACAGGATCGTAAATCTGGGTATCACATTCCGCTTTTCGTCTTTTTTTCTGAAGTTTCCAATATTCCTGAATTGTCGGGGTCAAATTCTGAATACAATTCTGATATATATTTTCATTTAGCATGCTGATTAAAATTTCTTTTTTTTTTTATTCGCATACAACCGTTGTTCGCTGCTTCTGTAGCATAATATGATGAAAGCTTGGCTATTAAATTCATTTTCGATTTTTGTCCATATCTTATTTGTATCATCAATTGATGTTCTGTTTGTTTGCCTTCAAGTTCTTTTTGGTACTTTTTACAAATATTCATTAGGAATACCTTTTCGCTAGTATAAAAAATTAGAAGTACGATTCCTTTCATTTCCTTTTTCCATATTTATGATTAAAAAATACAAATAATTTAGCTGTAATTTAGATTAAGCAATCTGTATTAAACTTGTAACCTGAGGGGTTATTTCTTTAATTATCTACCTTTAATTAATTATCTATTTAATTCTCGAAAGAGTTACTATTTAATTCTCGAAAGAGTTACTACTTAGTTCTCGAAAGGGAGTTTATTTAGTTATCGTTATACTTTAATAACACGTGGGAACTTAGAAATGTTGTATGTTCAGAAAATGCATTTCAGTCACTTACCCTTTCATTGCTTACGTGGAATGTAATCCAGTGGCTGGCTATACTGGGTGGCACTGAATTTGGAGAAACAAAAGGAAACACAAAACTTCCAGGAAGGGTTTTATTAACAATAAACAAAACAAACAAACAAAATAACAACGCAACGGCTCGGCGACATTATTAATTTATTTATTCAAACGCGACAGCGTACAGAAATTCAGGGATTGCACGCTTTATACAAGATTTGGAAAAACTATTAAATTTAATTAATTAGCCCGAGACTCTAAACGTAATTATTAGTCTGCTCAATGTGAAACGTAAGGAAGAATTGACTTTTTCGAGATCCTTCCTGAATTCCACAATTCACTTTGACCACGACCATTTCTTGGGTCCAGAAGTTTCGGTTCTCATCTTATTGGCGGGGACCTGAATATCGGGACGCTTGTATATAACTATATTATGTTAATAATTATCTAATTGACTTGACTTACATTTTTATAAGAATTCTGACTTACTAGTAAACCTAGCCTTCCCTTATTGACTCCGCGTAGCAATTACGGGACGGATTAGTCGATCTCATTTAATCTACTTCTAGCTTGGAAAAATCCGTCAAAAAAACCAGCTTACTAATATACTTTTCTTTTTCAATCATTATCTATTTCACAATTTAATTTGAATCCTACTTGGAATCTCTACGCTCTTCCCGCGGTTTCGCGCGTTATTAAAAAGATAGGGTTCTACGCGGCGCCTTCCAGACGCAACAGATGGCCCCGACTCTAAGCGGACTTGTTAAAATATTGGCAAATTTCTCCGAAGAACTACCTACTTGAAAACCATTAACCCTCCGAAAATTTGTGACGACTGAAATATCTTACTTTCCGAGAACTAATAAATAAATGACTGCGCATCCCGGCTTTTGTTACAAACTTAGCTTTGCAGCAGCAACATTGAGAAGGCCAAAAAGTGATGCACTAAAAGGTAAAAAATTCACAACCGGAAAGTCGTGCAAAAAAACATGATGTCCTTAAAACAAATCTTGGGAAATAGACATTATCCAAGACAACACTTGTTGAAACAAAAGGAACACTTGGAGGAGGAACATAAGAAAAAAAATGAACATATGGATAAGAAGCAAGAACTAGAATTAGCATATATGAAAGAAAAACATGAAGCTAGGATGGCAAAAATATTGAAATCTGAAATATAAATATTTGAAATTTTAAAGATGTGGAAAAGTTGTCTCTTGTATCCTCGTATTCCACAAGAAAATTGAATATTAAGACAGTGAAAAATTAATTTTCTTAGCTAAGTATTTTATAAAACTGTTCATATTGCATATAGGATATGAAAGATACAAGTCACAAATTTTCCAGGCAAAGCATTTATGAAATTAAAAACAAAAATTTTTACCCACTCCACTGTGCAACCGCGTTTTGTTTCAGTTCCTGCTATAAGCAGTTTTTCATTCTGTTATAAGTAAAAGAAATAAGTCTAAAACTAAATGTTTTAGTTTTACATAAACCTCTATTATTTTGTTTGTAAACATTGTTCCACCAACCTCCATAAACATTTATTGGTCATTTATAAAAAAAGACATAAAGAACTGAAATTAATGGACCGTTAAATTTCAGTAAACGTTCAACGCATAGTTATCAAAAAACAAATGAATGTTATGTTATTGTTTAGTATTTTGTTTTAATTTCTAAAAAAAAAAGGCATTTGTACATTAAATAAAACTACTTTTTTGGCATACTTATATATTGTTTTTTAATTGTTACAATTATTTTCTTAAATAAGCATACATCGTGTCAATGTATAACACTAACATCTTGAAAATGATTCTCTTGATTTGAGAAAAGTAATTTTTTTAAGTTCAATTATCATTTTTTTGCATGTTATAAAAAATATGTGTGTGCAATCNTGTTTGCCTTCAAGTTCTTTTTGGTACTTTTTACAAATATTCATTAGGAATACCTTTTCGCTAGTAAAAAAATTAGAAATACGATTCCTTTAATTTCCTTTTTTCATTTTTATGATTAAAAAATACAAATAATTTAGCTGTAATTTAGATTAACCAATCGGTATTAAACTTAATAACGGTGCATACGGGCGTAAGAGTTGAAATCCTTTTTCCATTTCCTTTTGTTGGGCTTATGTTTAGAGCTTGATGCATTTGCATGAGGATTTGTGGTGCAGTTAACACTTTTAAACTTGTTGATGCTACATCTTGTTGCAATTTTACTTCAAAATCCAGGAGTCTTGTTTTGATGAATGCTAAGTTCAACTTATCTTCAATGAGAGTTTTTAAAACTGTTATTATGCCGTCGTATGACGTTGCGTTAACAGTAATCAACTCAGTGATGATGTCGTCGAAACTAGTGAAGTGATTTAATAAGGTAACTTTATCAAGTTTGATGTTTAATAATTGTCTTCAGAGGGCCCTAACCCTCTGTGTGGCTAAACTACATCTTTCGTAAAGAGCATTTAATTTTGCAAAACTTTGTTTAGCAGTTTCTTGCTCTTTTAAATAACTTAAGAATCTTCCCAATATTCAACAATCGTACCCTTTGCTATAAGATCTTGCTTTTTCCATTGCTTATCTTGATGGTCTTCGTCGGTTCCAATCACATTTATTCGTTCCAGTTCCGCCAATAGGGATTTCACGCGAAATTTTCAGACATTGTAACGTTCACAGTTAAACGGAGTGATATTTCCTTTAGAGTTCTTATTTTCCATGTCTCTTTTAGCTCAGTGGCACTCAAGTCTTTTTATTTTAATTATAGCGGAACCGAACCAGTCTTAGGGCCGGTATTATAATGTCTGGTTGACCGTAGGTTTGAATACAACCTTCGGTTAAACTGCAGATTGCGTAGTATAAACACCGACTGATGGTTAGAGTGTCGCTTGAGCGTCGTTTCAGTCAACTAGCGGTTTAGGTTAAGTTTGAGGGTCAACTGTCAGCTGAGTCACAGAGCAGGTACATATATGCTCGCTGGCTGAGTTGAAGTTATAGGATAGTGGCATATTGAATAGAAGTACAAAACCGTTTTATTTTATATTTGTGTGTTTATTAAAATGTCATCTTCATCTGAAAATGAACGTTTTCATAAAAGTAAACGACTTTGGAAAGACAGTAGTGAATAAACTAGGGAAAAGATGTTTGAAAAAAAAATGTACTAAGAGTTTTACGGCGACTTTGTTGCCCTTACCTTTGAGGGTTTCCCTATGTTGACTCACTCGCTTGCAGCAGGAACTAGCACCCTTGCATCAATTTTGTGTATCACTTATATGTACCATATAGACATTAGTCTAAATTTGAGATCTCAGTTGAGTATAGTTGCGTACTGTCTTGGTCAAAGCTCTCACATACACACACTTTTTAAAATTGAATGTCGACTCTTCTCCCCCCTCATCGAGTCTTTTTCCCCACCCTCGGTTAGAGGACAAGGACAACATGAAATTAAATCGCGGAACGCGCGGTGATTTAAATAAAAAATAAATTAAGAGAGAAACGCAAACAAGTAGTGACAGTGATTCTTCTGATAGTTCTGATAATGAATATGGAAGAGTACATAGAGCTCCTAGAAATTTTAGAATTCGTCTAGATCATTTTCAAAGGTGGAATGATGAAGAATTTAGAATGCGATTTCGCCTAAGTAAGGACACTGTTGTGATGTTAGAACAAAGAATTGGAAATGATATTATAGCATCAAAAACTCGAAGGTAACTATCAAGTTAATATTAAATATTTACTTAACACAGAAAATTTTCAGAAATCATGCCATAACAGCAATGCAGCAAATTCTTCTTGTTTTACGGTTTTGTGCAACTAGATGTATGCTTCAAACGATTGGTGACTTTGCGGGCATACATAAATCTACTGCAGGTCAAATTATAAAAAAAGTAATAAATAGTATAAATTCATTAGCATCTGAATATATAAAAATGCCTATAGGTCAGTATGAAACAGACTTGACAAAGAACAACTTTTTTAACATAGCTAAATTTCCGCGAGTTATAGGCGCTATAGATTGCACTCACATAAGAATTATTTCACCAGGTAATTTACATATTGTGGGTTGGTATAGGTACTATAGTAATCACTTTTTATTTACAGGAGGAGATAATGCAGAATATTTTAGAAATCGAAAAGGATATTTTTCACTTAACGTACAGATGGTAGGGGACTCTAATTTGCGGATTAGAGATATTGTTGCGCGTTGGCCAGGTTCAACTCATGACCAGACAATATTTAATAATAGTCGATTGCAAGCCAGATTTGAAAATGGAGACTTTGGTAATGCAATATTGCTTGGAGATTCGGGATATGCTTTGAAAAAATATTTAATAACACCCATACTTAACCCCGCAACACAAGCAGAGCAGCTCTTCAATGAATCCCAAATTAGGAGTCGAAACTCCATTGAAAGATTATTTGGTGTACTGAAACGAAGATTTCCCGTTCTCTCACTTGGAATAAGATTGTCTCTTATCATGTCACAGTCCATCATACTAGCATGTGCAGTTTTGCACAATATAGCAATTGAAATGAACGAGAATGACCCCATTCAAGATCCAAATGTAAATATTAATGTTGAAGAAGCACAACAACATAATGTTGTTAACGATAATCAACATAATTTCAGAGATGAGTTTGTTTTATATTTTTTAAATTTAATAGAGCCTTGAAAGTTTTAAAATACCTATTTTCTTTTGCTTCAATAATTTCTTAATAACATTAAATTGATATATTTACATAATCACAATAATGGAAAAGTTAAACAAATATATGCAAATATAGAATTTATTGGAATTTAATTTTATTTCATATTTAATTAAAATTTCCTAATTGTTTTTTTAAAACGCATATTTCAAGTTCTAATTTTTTGTTTTGTAATTTTTGATTTTTTATTTTGAGATCATATATTTCTTCTTCTTTTTTCATTTTCATTTTGTGGTATATTTCTTCACGTACAGCTTCTTTTTCAAGCAGTTCTTTCTTTATATTAAACATTTTCATTTTAAAATTGTCTTCATCTTGAGAATTAAGCTCGCTTACTTCTGTATCCATCTTTTTATGTTTTACTTGCAATGCTTTATGCTTCTTACTTCTCAACATTTTTGGTGTGTAATCTGACCAGTCTGTAAAAGTCGAATTAATCAATATATATCAATCAATTTAATTTTATTAATAAGTACCCTGCAAGTATTCTCCTTTATTATCTTTATCTTTAAGATCTTCCAGCACTTCTTGTGGTTGTGACGGACCAGCTAATATTATTTCAGGAAATTCATTATCACATAGAATTATAGGTTGTAAATTATTATCTGAAGTAACATGAATATTTTTACTTATTGTACCTTAAAAATAAATTAGTATATTACATAGATATTAAATAAAATACGTTAATTATTAATTAACAAAATATAAATATCATACTACATTTGTCCATGTCCTCTACTTCTAGAATATCGCTATCACCCTGGCTAGGTTCTAAACCATTAACTGAATAGCTAATAATAGTTTTTATTTTATCATATACTATTTTCAATGCAGACTTTATATCAATTTCATTAGCTCCACCACCAGTTTTATATAAACTTTGTCTTTTTTGGGCTTCGTACTTACGAACGTCTTTTTTTGAATTATCATATTTACATCGTAACTGGTCAGATGTTCTAGGCTCTGTTGTAGCAGAATTGTAAATGACTGCAATTTTCTCCCAAGTGGCATTCTATAATAAATATAATTTATGTGACATACGTCAAATAAAATAAAAATATAAAAAAACATCTTACCTTCTGTTTCCAAGTTGTAGCATCAGTTTTTTTACATTCTACAATATTTCTATAGCTATTAATTATATCTACCAGACGGTGGCAGTCTGCATCAGAATAAATTATTCTTTTAATTTTTGCAGCCATTCCAGGTTATTATTATTATAATGTTGATAGTTAATAATAATTTAAAACGTACGACACTTTCACTGACAAGTCTCATAACACACAAAATATCAAGTGAGAAGTGATGGTGCATCATAATGTTGGCGGGAAATACGTACTTATCTCTGTGTGGAGGGGAATGAGTAACCAATAAGAATTGATTCTTTTAGTTAAATTCCAACTGGCAGTATGGCCAACACTCATAAATGGAAGTGAGCTGCAGGTTGGCGAACCGTAACGTATATTGTGTTTATAATACAGAATATTTCAGAACCGGCGGTTGAACTTGGACCAAGGGTTGAGTAACCAGAGGTTCAACTATACTTTTATAATACCGGCCCTTACTGAAATTGTTTGCATTTAAGTGGTTTGAATTTGTAAGAATTCCCTTTTCTCTTTTGATAATAATCATCACTCTTCTTTCTACTTGCACAAAACAAACACACTAAGGGTGGGTTGTAGAAAGAACGGGTTAAACGAAGTTTACAAAAACTTGGGTTAATTTTTAAACTGAGATTATAAAATGATGTGTTGTACAATTGGTACGTAATTGAGGGTCAGTTACCTAACCGCCGGTTATACAAAGTTGGTAGTACATTTTCGTTCATCCGAACCGCGGTATCCGTGCATCTGAACTACTAACAAGAAATATCACGCCTTTGTGAGAATAACCTCAAAAAAACACTAATTATTCATTTCTGACTTAGCGTTAACATAGTATTTAAATTAAAGATGGATAAAGAAAAGAAAAAAGTAAAAGCCCGTGCACAAAATTTTACCGAGAAGAGAGAATCTTGTTAAATTGCGTCCAAAAATATACCGAGTTCGTCGAATGTAAAAGGACAGACAGCGTTAGCAATGAACAAAAACTAAGGTACTGGAAAAGAATTACTACCGAATTTAACCAACAAAGTGATAGGAGTAGGGAGTTAATAATCTTGAAAAACAAGTGGGAAAACTTGAAGAAAAAATCTAAAAAAGTCATAAGCGAAGAAAAAACTTTTAGGAGGGGTACAGGTGGAGGTCCTCCTAAATATTTTAATGTAACTGACATTGATTATTGATTATAGAGCACAATGTCTGTAGTACATGCCATGCAACATGCATCATATCACATGTTGTGTATCGTGCTTCCATTAGTGTAAAGAGGCATCTTATACCTAGTATAATTGTACTGAAGTTGTTTATAACCAACTTCTTTTTAGATTATACTTTATCATGTAGTGATGAAGGAGAAGAAAACGAAGTAATCGTTCTGCAGATGGAAAATCAAGATGAGGAAGATTATGAATTACCATCTGAGATTGAATATGAGTACCATGAAAGTGTTAATTCTGAAGAAAATAACATTAATGTCGAAGAAACTGTACAGACTCCAAATAATTTATACTTGCAGAAGAATAAAGATATTTTAAAGGAAACAGGTGTATTTAGACCTGGGCTTAGCTTTGCAGCAGCAACATTGAGAAGGCCAAAAAGTGACTCACTAAAGGTAAAAAACTCAGGACATGATGTCCTTAAAACAAATTTTGGGAAATGGGCATTATCCAAGACAACACTTGTTGAAACACAAAAGCAACACTTGGAGGAGAAACATAAGAAAAAATTGAACATATGGATAAGAAGCAAAAACTAGAATTAGCATATATGAAAGAAGAACATGAAGCCAGGATGGCAAAAATATTGAAATCTGAAATATAAATATTTGAGATTTTAAAGATGTGGAAAAGTAATTGTCTCTTGTATCCTCGTATTCCATAAGAAAATTGAATATTAAGACAGTGAAAAATTAATTTTCTTAGCTAAGTATTTTATAAAACTGTTCATATTGCATATAGGAAATGAAAGATACAAGTCACAAATTTTCCAGGCAAAGCATTTATGGAATTAAAAACAAACATTTTGACCCACTCCACTGTGCAACCGCGTTTAGTTTTAGTTCCTGTTTTGTGTTTGCTATAAGCAATTTTTCATTCTGTTATAAGTAAAAGAAGTAAGTCTAAAACTAAATGTTTTAGTTTTACATAAACCTCTATTATTTTGTTTGTAAACTTTGTTCCGCCAACCTCCGTAAACATTTATTGGTCATTTATAAAAAAGACAAAGAACTGAAATCAATGGACCGTTAAATTTCAGTTAACGTTGGTGAAACGCAAAAAACAAATGAATGTTATGTTATTGTTTAGTATTTTGTTTTAATTTCCAAAAAAAGGCATTTGTACATTAAATAAAACTACTTTTTTGCCATACTTATATATTGTTTTTTAATTGTTACAATTATTTTCTTAAATAAGCATACATCGTGTCAATGTATAAGACTAACATCTTGAAAATGATTCTCTTGATTTGAGAGTAAAGTAAATTTTTTAAGTTCAATTATCATTTTTTGCATGTTATAAAAAATATAAAAGAATAAACAAAATGTTCTCATTGTACTTTGCAATAAATTTTAAGGTAGCAATTTTTTAGTTGGTTTGCAACTTCATTAACATTTCCTATCTGTATAGCTGCCTCAATTTCTTCGTTTACATATGATAATTCATCCCTCATATGAATAGCAACATTATGTATTACTGCAGAAGCAATAACTATCTCTTCGACCTTATCAATATGTAATTTTATACCTAATGCTAAAATAGGAAACCTCCGTTTCCATACGCCAAAACATCTTTCAATAGGATTTCTAGTACGTATTTGGGCTTCATTATACAATGCTTCTGCTGGAGTTCTTGGGTCTTGTAAAGGCGTCATAAGGTAATTTTTTATTGGATACCCTGCATCCCCAAGCAACAAACTACCTTTGAAATTCCATATCTCTTCGCACCCTTGAATTATTAAAAATTGTAGCATCTGATGACGAACCTGGTCATCTACAATGTCCTTTATAATCAATTTTGAATCACAAATGGCTTGCACATTAAATGAAAAATATCCTTTCCTGTTCCGATAAATTTCAGCTTCTTCGCCCCCAGGACTATAAAAAACGATTTTAAAATTATTTCATGCATAGTAAGTAAAAGAAAGTAATGTCTTAATTCTGCATCATATTTTCAGGATATTTGTAGCCATTACCTTACTGTCATAGGTCGGAATTCGAGAGGAAGGTTTTCGATGAGGTGGCAAACTGTTTCTTTTGAAAGACGATACCTTTGCAAAAATTCGGTATCGTTCCATTTTTCAAAATGATTACATCTTTGGCGAAAGTTTTTAGGTCTCCGATGAACTGTATGATTTACCAGTTCATTAAAGTCCTCATCGTCGGTATAATAATACAAATCCATTAATTATGACTTTTCACTTTATTTATTATTATTTTTAGAACTATGGATGGACTTTGTAAGTCAGTTTTTAGTTAGTGTAATAACCATACAGATAAATAAATGGAAATAAATAATATTTAGTCCACGGAAGAATCAATTAAAGTATGGTTATATTTGATAAACTTAGTTTAAACTGCAAAATATGGTCGGTAAACTAAAACTCTGGTTAAACGAAGAATTTATCTTAAACTACATTGGCACAACACTCATTACATATTAAACTCGGTTTAATTCTTAACTCTTCTTTCTACAACCCGCCCTAAGTATTCTATTGTTCACATACCTGGGTCCCTCTATTTCTAACTCATCCCCAATAGCATTTGCAGAAGCTAGAATTTGGTTCATAATAACTTGAGCAGTTTACCGACGAACTTTTACTACCCAACTAACAAAAAATGTTCACAATCAGTAAGTTTTCAAGTTTGTACATAAACATTTGTTTAAAAACTTGAATTTTTAGATACAGACTGAAGTTAGAATATCGGCGCATTGGGGATACCAGTAACCCATTTGAATTGCCAAATGAAAAATTTATTAAGCTAGTTATATTAGTGTCCAAGTGACATCATACTATTTTTTATCATAATATTAGGTAAGTTTCATTTATATAACTAAGATGCTACGTAGAATATTATGCTTATTTAACAAAAAAATAAAACCTGTATAAAAACAGCTGTAAGAAAATCTAGTAGCCAGATCGCAGTAAACTCGTATTTGACAAAGTGTGTATTTTATTATGTCCACACCCAACGTATAACTAGCTTTTCAGGTTCAATAAAGAACTACATAGTTGAAAATTTAATTAACGAATTAAAGGAATTTATCGAAGAACGAAGAGTTGACCAAGTGCTATTTCACTTACAGGTAAGCACTTACCTATTTATATGTAAGGTATTCGAATTTCGTATTCATTAGTTACATTCAGTTATATTAGTATAAACCCATGGTCTCCAGAATTATAAATAAAATAAATCTTATATTTGCAGTGCTTCTTCTTCCCAGGTATGTTATTCAATGGACTTTTGTTAAAATGTATATATTGATTTATAAACAACATGCTGGTTATAAAAAAACATTTTATTAAGAAACCAATCCTATAACATATTCTTAAATCAATATAACTAAATTAAACTTGTATTTTTATTAGCCATAGCTGACAAAGCTTCAGCTAACTTAGTAATACTTAATGCCATTTGTTTAATTGCTTCTGCTATTACTTCAGCACTTTTCGAATATAGTTCTGCTGGTTTCTCCAATTGCCTTACTTGTCTAGAATTTTTTGTAATCTTCCTTGACTAAATTCTGCTTGGGTTCTTCTTGAATGCTTGAAGCAGTTTCTAGAAAAAAATATGTTACTTAATAAAAATTGCTTTTGCTAATAATTATTGCCAATAAATTACTGCACATTTATTTATATCATTGAATAAATGCAAATCCGTATACTATACAATTCTTCCATATTAACCTATTGAAGGAACATACATATTAATGTTGTATAAAATTATAATGCGGGAACACTTTTCTCTACTACTATTTGCATTATGTTTCTGAAGTGCCCGATTCATTTGTAAAATGGTTGCACTCTAGCTCTATTAAATATTCTTCCTGATTGAATGAAATATCATTGTCAGTAATAATTTCCATCGTGACTTCATGGGGCCC